TCTCGAATCCCATCTGCTGACTTTGCCCTTGGAGGAAAGGGATGATCACATTTGCATTGCAAGACTTCAACAGTTTGATTTGGTGATGAAATACAGATATAATGTCACGTAACATGTGTGCCTGAGCGTGGCTTTCTTGCATGGCAAGGGTCTCGGCCAGTATTTTGGTGCCGGAACATGCTCAGTGTTTCCACATAGGCAGTGCTACAACAGAGGGGAAAAGAATAACCTGACGTTGTGGAATGGGTTGATATGCTGGTTGATTGTGGTAGCATTTTGGGACCTGCTCTTCTGTTTTTTCCCCCTCTTACAGAGGCCGTGTTGAAGCTTCATCTTGTTACAGAAGAGCCTTCCCCCCCCCTCCAAACCCCCCCCAAACCATTGTGGAACCCCCTAAGTACACTTTTTGGTCAATATAGCACCCACGGTTCTCAACGCTATCAGTAGCTTCTACAAGTAATGGTTGCTGCTGTCTTCCAGAAGTGCCCAGTCACTGACGCTGGGGGTAAGGTCTTCCCCAATCCAGCTGTGTCCTGTTCATGCAGCAGTGGGAACGCTTTCCCTCTCCAGTCTCTTCCTTACACAAGTTACAAGTGCCCCCAGGGGAATGCACATGGTGGATGCTGCCACCAGCAGCCCGATCACCGCCAGGGCGTGGCCTGGGTAGTCCTTTGTCACCAGCTGCCCCTGCAAGGGAGAGAAGAAGCGTTGGGATACGCGGGATCTGTGATTTTCAGTGTCCCGGAGTCGGGGCTGGAGCACAGCTCTGTATTTAAGCAGGACAGCTCGCAGGCTGCAGCAGCTCAGGACTCTTGGGGCTTTGCTTTGTCCAGCCGTGTGAGCTTAAAACTGACAAGAATGGAGCTGCTGACAAAAACACTGGGGGAAAAGGTCTGCAGGCTTTGGCAAAGAGCGGCTTTTGGCTTGAGTTATGTTTCTTAATGAGAGGGCTCGGCCCTGACCTCTGTCAGGTCTCTGCCTTCCTCCCCTGGAGCCGGTGGGCTCATGCTGTCACCCAGTCACCAGGCCAGGCCCACCGTGGGTCCCAAATCAGTGCAGACATGAGAACAATGGGCGTAATTTGTTTCTGCATGCTAGGAATATTTCCCCAAAAGGTTATGAAACCAGTGATTGCTTATCCAGTAGTAATTCCTCTGTGATAAATACAGAGTTCAGCATTCATGCAGAAGAGTTTTGGCCATGAAGAAAAATATATATGGAAATTATGAAAACCAGAATGGTTTACGTGAAAACTATTTATTCCAGCAGCAGCTCGGCTCTGTTAAAGGAACACTACTTTTGTTCAAAATATTACACTTTGAAAGTAATTTTTCCTCTTGAAAGAGAGTGAGGATATGTGGGTCTTCAATCAACACAAATAAGATTTTACTGTTTGAAGGGATCAATTAAGTGTAGTGGGAGATTACTCCAGTTTTAGAGAACATTGTTGTCACTACATCAAGTTTTCCCTTTCTGCAAAAATGAAGGAGTTGCCCTGACTTGGGCTGCAAGTTTTCAGAAGGCTGCTTCGGGGAGTGATGCAGTTAGGAAGGAAGGCTGTATCCTTGCAGCAATTAGGGAAGTTAAAACAACAAACTAGAACTATTTTACCTGTGTGGCATCCCATGCTTGATATTGCAGCGTTCCCGTGAGGATATAGTCGGTGAGGTAAAATATTAATAGGCTTATAATTAGCAAAGGACTAGCAAAAGCCCACATAATTTTCCAATACCAGTTTGGCTTGTGTCCAATCATGGTGTGAAGATCTTTCTCAAATCTGTGTTTAAAAAAAAACCCAAACAACATTTATCTGAGAACAGCAGCGTATGTTCAATAGATACCTTGATCTGAGTTAGTTCAAAACCCCCTACAGAATTAAATCCCGAAGATGGGAAAGGGGAGTGTAGTTGAGCAGAAGCGCAATGAGCAGAGAGGTATTGTCTGAAGAACTGGCACACCAGGATTATGGAGTGAGGTTCAAATAAAAGATAGCAGGGCTTCCAGGAGGATCCCAAACTGCAGCAGAGTAGCGAGGAATAGCTACAGCAGGAAAAGTCCCAACAAAATTCTGCCTGGCGTGTAAGTTCAGATCTTTACTGGTGTAAGCTGACAGAGAAAAGCGATTGTGCTCAAGTACGGCGGAGAAAACGCTGCTTGTCTTTTGCTTAGTTGAGTTGTTCTCACCACTGATATTCGACTGTCTCTGAGGAAGCACTAATGCCGGGGGTGACACCGAAAGTCACACAGGAAACCTGGATCTAACTTGAAAGCTTTGAACTCACCAAGAATGTAACACCAGTGAAGGTGGCCGTGCACACGCTGGACCAGCACAGCAAATCCTAGAGCCGTTTCCTTTGGATGCCCTGAGCACAAACAAACAGCTCCCCTCCGTAAAACCTTTCCTGATGCCAAATCTTGCTTTTATCCACAAGGTATAAGACCTGTGGAACCAGCGATGTGCAAGGTTTGAAACCAGACTTTTGGGCACTGTTGTGCTCGCGCTGAATTGCTGTGACAGGAGCAGAGTTTGAGCAGAAGGTGCTCTTGAGAACAAAGAGCAGCCGGGAGCAATGTGGACAGCTCATGAGCACTCCCCTGCCTGCAGAGAAGGTGTCAGCCCAGCCTGGCCCCCACACAGCCCCGAACATGAGGCCCTGGAAGGGTCTGCAGGTCAGGGGAGACCCCACTGCCTTGCTGATACCATAGTGTAGGAGAAAAAAAATTACCCCAAGGTGGTATTTTTATTCTTGGCCCTGCATGTCTTGGCCAGTGGTCGCACCCCTGCTAGCCCGTGATGAAGAAAGGAGAGTTCAAGCTTTTACCTTCTTATCCCATAGATATAACACACAGCAATGGTTTCTACCAGGACGATGAGCAACAGCGAGAGGGTGGCTGCGTAGTCATTGAATATGTCAAACCAATAATTTCCAGCCTGCATGGTGAAGATGAGGCCAATCACGCAGTTAATGAAACACACAACACCTGCATGGATAAAACAGGGACCCTGCCATTACACCTGGAATTCTAATTGTGTGGGGGAAACGTCATACTACGTGTGACTAATACACTGGTGGGATTTCTACTGAGTTCTGGCGGGAGAGCAGCTTTCTTGGAGGAGAAAGAGAATTTTTTAGCCCTTTGGAAAAAGCCTGGTTCTATGTGTGCGTGTGAACATGCTGTGTATCCTTAAACTGCTGCTCCTTAGACCTGCGCAGTCACAGCACCTCAGCACAGCGACAGAGTCTCAGCCTTGTCACATGTGTGTGCAGCATCTGCTGTTACTGCTGGGCATCCAGTTAAAACAGCTGTTAAGGTGGGACAACTGATTCCCATGCCCAAATGGGAGTGTGTACCACTTCTGGCCCAAGACTGAGCTGGTTTGCAGTTGGAATACCAGTGATGCTACTGAAGAGCCACTCACTGCAGGTGCCTTGACACGTCTCCTGCCCCTTTGAGTTTTGCCGGTGAGTAGACACCAGTCTGAGGAGTTGGGGTGCGTGGGACAGCCTGCAAATACACAGTGACAACTGCCCTAGTGCCTTGAGAGTTCCCCAGGGAAAGCACTGTACAAGCTGGGCAGGATTTTCCACAGGCAGGCAAACCCTTCTGGCAGCATATTTGATATTCTCTGCTCCACCCGAGGTCAAAGAGGGACCCTTAACGGCTGTGGGACACCAAAGCTTTTGCCCACACATGCTCTCTCCCTGCATGGCCCGTGCTGCCCCTGGCAGGCGCTTACCTGAGATCACCTCCTTGGGGAAACGGGCACCGATGACCCTGCTGTCGGTCAGCGGCGTGAGGATGGCGGCGGTGTTCCCCAGCATGCTGCCGATGCCCAGCATCAGCAGCATGACGAAGTAGAGCACAGAGTACAGCTGGGGCACCTCCATGTTTTTAATTGCTTCAGAATAGACTATAAATGCCAGTCCCGTCCCCTGGACAGCCTGCCAGCGAGAAGGGGGAAAGTAGTGAGTTATGGGCAGAAAAAGAGACCTAAAGAGTAGGGACATCTGAGATTGAACCTCCACAAGGACAAAACACAGCCGTGGTGGCAGTTCTGCACAGCAGATGAGATCTTCACCAATTTATTCAAACTGGACAGAAACTGGCACAGCAAAAATATTTACCCTACACCTTTGTGCTCTGCCCTGTCCCACAGCTGGAGTCAGCAGTCTGGCTGCACTGTTACCCAGCTCAGTTGCTAACGACCCAAGCGAGCCCCTTGCCGGTGCCCCCACCCCATCCCAAGGTGCACAAATGAGCCCCCCCAGCCCCCAGCCAGCTGGCTCCTGGCTCCCCTCCACCTGGGGCTGAGGATCTGCCCAGGCTTGGTAGGAGGAAAGGCACATGTGAAGCCCAGGCACCAGCACAAAGTGGCAACTCACCGTATCTAGTTCAGCTTCCAAGCTGCAGTTTTTAAGCTGCGGCAATAATTGCTCGTATTCCTGTGGGTGGGTGGCCATGAGGTAGTCTTTCATCTCCTTGAGGTTGTCTGCTGTTAAAGAGCCTTCCTCCAGGTCGAAAGTGTTCATGAGCAACAGGATCACCCTGGGAAAGATGATTGAAATTGAATGTCTTTCAGGCCAAGGTATAAAACTGATGCCAGTTTTACACCCATCCTCTTCTCCAGCCCCCACAGGGGACTTTGCCAGCAACAGGGCTCCGTTCTCTCCGGGTGGGACTGGGCTGGGACACTCCCAGCGTGGCGTTGGGATGCTGGAAGTCTTGTGCTGCTCCGCTTCAGAGGGAGCAGCTCCTGTGCCCAGGCTACCATTCTCAGGCACCTGGGAGGGAGCTGGCAGGTACTTTGGGAGCTGGCCAGTGCTGGTTGGTGTCTCTTCCCCTTTGCCCTCTGGTCCCACATCCACACCTCACTGATTTAACAAGCCTTTTGGCAAAGAGCAGGGACTAGCAGTTTGGTTTCCTCTCTGATCAGCAGACAGATTGAAAGCTGTAAAAATATGAGTAAAAGTGTAACCAACTGCCACAGGCCCTGTGCCAGGGACTGCATGCGAGCCTGCTGCCTCAGGGCACGATCCTGCAGGCTGCTGGGCACCTCCAGAGCATCAGCAGTGAGGAGGCTGACCCCCTGGCACAGGGCTTAGCCTTAAAGCAGGCGGTCTGAGCAGCACTGTATTTTATTAATCAGCCCCCTCACCCAGCCTTCCCCCTGCCCCCTTCCCCAAGCATTCAAAGCATGTTCATGTGGGGCTGGGCTGCAGGGGAAAGTGCTGCTGTGTCTTGCTCAGGCAAACTCATCCTCTTGACACAGCCTGTGCCTGGAAGCAGCACCCAGGTGTCAAGGGCACACCAGCTCTGACCTTTCATCCCAGCCTTCACCCTTTAAATCAGGCCATTATCTTTATTAGAGCAGCCTTGTGGCTGGGCTTGGGGCAGTGCTGCCAGCACCGCGTACTGTTATTTATTTACCTCCCCCCCCTACCTTTACCTTCCCCAGAACAGCTTGTGGTGGAAAACACGTGAAATAGCAGCCTCTTACTTGTTTATACAGCTTTCGTAGTTAAACGTTGCCTTGAAGCCGTAGATGGAGAAAGTCACGATGCTGGCAAATATGGAGGTGGTGCTGTTGATCAGCGAGACGATGATGGCGTGCCTCTCGCAGTTGTTGCTGGGCTCGTTGTAGCTGGCAAATGCGATGAGGCTGCCAAAGCCCAGGCCCAGAGAGAAGAAGATCTGTGTGGCAGCGCTGATCCACGTCTTGGGGTTCGACAGTTGCTCCAGCTGCAAAAGCCAGACAGGGAGAACGGGAGCGTGAAGCTGCACACAGATGGCTGGCACTGCCCGCTCCAGCCTGCGGGGATGGAGATGGGGACGGGCCCCTTTGGCACTTGTTTTAGCTCAGGAGTGTTTTTTGGGCCCGGTTACTGCTCAGTCTGGCAGTGATATGCTACAGGTTATGTTAACGGGCAGGGCTTTTTCTGCAGGAGAAAGCAAGCAGCTTATGGGCATGGTGGCAGAACAGCCTCCAGCGCTCCCAGCTGGGGTTTCCTGCTGCCTGACCCGAGCTACTGCTGCAAAGATTCAATCCAAGGAAAAGGAGAATCACCATCTTTTACAAACCTACACTTCTAGTAATGAATAACATCTTGTGAAACATTCAGTATGACTGTTCTGTACCTTTGGTGTGAACATGTAGATGAGCCCGTTCACAGCTCCATGAAGTGTTAATCCTCTGATGAGGTATATGATAAGAACACAGTATGGCAAAGAGGCTGTTACATAGACCACCTGGAGGAAGGAGAAGAAATACTTTGGTCCAAAGAATACACAAGCCTGGCTGTAATGCAGCAGCTCTTTCTCACTTACAGTAATGGAAATGATTTATGTAAAGTACCTGTTACCTTGTATTAATCTTTAAACAAATATTTTCAGACAAATCAAACTTTAGATTTAGAAACAGATTTTTTTTATTAATAATGAAAATCCTGTGCTAATTTTCCCACTGGTCTTCTCTTTGATTGAAAAAAATAAGGATGACATTTACAATATTTGTAGCATTTACAAACTCAGTGCTGCAGCATTTAGTGAAGTAACACCATCTTGCAGCTGTCTGTCAAGAGCAGATTAGGCAAAGGCCATCCATCATCTGCTCTAGGAGGAGGTGAGCAGACCTCATAAAAGATAAAAAAAAATAAATAAATCAGACTTGACTGAAAATATTTTAATAGAGATGTGAAAAAGACTTTAACTTAATGTAACCTAGATGGGGGAATGGAGGGAATTAAATCTTTCAATTGTCTTCCATGAGCTTTTGAGCAAACCCCTGAGTTGAATCTAAATGTTTCATCTCCACTTTGGAAAGGAGGGGAAAAAAAAGGAAAAAAAGGGAAAAAAGGGAAAAAAAAGGAAAAAAAAGGAAAAAAAAGGAAAAAAAAGGAAAAAAAAGGAAAAAAAAGGAAAAAAAAGGCAAAAAGGAAAAAAAAAAGGAAAAAAAAGGAAAAAAAAGGAAAAAAAAGGAAAAAAAAGGAAAAAAAAGGAAAAAAAAGGAAAAAAAAGGAAAAAAAAGGAAAAAAAAGGAAAAAAAAGGAAAAAAAAGGAAAAAAAAGGAAAAAAAAGGAAAAAAAAGGAAAAAAAAGGAAAAAAAAGGAAAAAAAAGGAAAAAAAAGGAAAAAAAAGGAAAAAAAAGGAAAAAAAAGGAAAAAAAAGGAAAAAAAAGGAAAAAAAAGGAAAAAAAAGGAAAAAAAAGGAAAAAAAAGGAAAAAAAAGGAAAAAAAAGGAAAAAAAAGGAAAAAAAAGGAAAAAAAAGGAAAAAAAAGGAAAAAAAAGGAAAAAAAAGGAAAAAAAAGGAAAAAAAAGGAAAAAAAAGGAAAAAAGGACAAGGTACCCCAATGGTTCACCCAGGAACTTATACAAAAAAATAATTCACAAAAATACATGCCTTCCCAAGCTCTTGGGAAAAGACGTGAGTGGGCAGTTACCAAATATCCCTCTGATCTGCACCTGCCTGTGCTGCCAGTGGGCATCTGACTTTCCTTGTCACACACGTGGAAATGCAGCAGCTTCACCTTCCCCAGCGGGGCAGCCCTGACCCAGTGCCCAGGGCACGCAGGGGAAGACCCCTGTGCTCCCCCCGGTGAGACCCTGCCTGCACATTGGCTATTTATTTGTTTCTTTTTTGCTGGCTATTTATTTGTTTCTTTTTTGCCCACAAAGCAAGTTTCAGAGGTTATTCTTGGTTTACAGCCCTTGGCCTTCGGCTAATACGATTTGGGGATTACAGCCCTCAGCCTGCTTCTTAGTGCAGACTCAGCTGGGACATCGCTTCCCCCCCCCATGCCTGTCTCATAACTTCTGCTGTGAATAAAAAGTGAGAGAAATGCCCAGGAGATGTCTGTCTTCCTTTTTTTTTTTTTTTTCTTTCTTTCTTTTTTTTTTTCCTTGCAAAGACTGAGGAAGAGACAAAGAGACATCTCCTGCCACAGCTCTGCTGGCCCAGGCAGTTTTCCTCAGGGCCAACAGCCTGGCAGCTGGTTTTGCAGCAGAGGTGGCTGCATCTAAAGCATTTAAAGGACTTTTCTGTTGTGGGGGTTGGTTGTTTGGTTGCTTTTTTGGGTTTGTTTTTTTTTTTTTGAGGGGGTTTTGTTTGTTTGTTTGTTTTTAAATATTACTCAGTGTTTTGG